AAGGATGCCACGTTAGGAAGAGACTCTAAGGTGGGGGGAACCGGACTTCCAGTTGGCAGAGGAAAAAGGATGCCACGTTAGGAAGAGACTCTAAGGTGGGGGGAACCGGACTTCCAGTTGGCAGAGGAAAAAGGATGCCACGCTAGGAAGAGACTCTATGGTGGAGGGAACCGGACTTCCAGTTGGCAGAGGAAAAAGGATGCCACGCTAGGAAGAGACTCTATGGTGGAGGGAACCGGATTCCGGTCAGCTCTAGAATTAACAGGAAGCTTCTGGTTAGGACCTTTGTGGCTCTTTGAGTGTTTCAGGGCCTTCCTTGTGTCAAATCGGTATAAATAGATCCCATCCATGTTCAATATATTCCACCCTTAGAATATAGATCCGTCCCCACCTCTTCCTTTTGCTCCGCTTAGGACGGCTGTTCCGTCTTTACTTACCTCTTCCCACTGATGAATGTAGCGGATGAGCCGAGAGAGTCGTAGGAGCCTCAAGAGGCTGAGGATTTTGGTGAAGCGGACAATCCGCAGCGCTCGGGCTGTCTTATAGACCTCCGAATCGATGCGGGTCTCCACAATCAGGAAGATGTAGTCCACCGGAATGGACGAGATAAAATCCACCACAAACCAGCTTTTGAGATACTTCATCTTAATCCTCTGGGGGTCCAGGATGATCTCCGTGTTGTCTTCCACCACAATCCCCGTGCGGAAATTGAGCACCAGGTCAATGAGGAAGAAGGTATCGGAGACCACGTTGAAGACAATCCACGGCGTGGTGTTCTCGTCCTTGAAGAAGGTGATGCCGACTGGAATGATGATCAGATTCCCAACCATGAGGAGCAACATGGTGAGGTCCCAGTAGAACCTAGAGGGAAAGACGGAGACGTCGGTCAATGAGAAAGGAGGCACCAGGGGGATCTAAGACCCAAGGAAGGCACCCATTTTGTCCACAAACTGGACAAATGACAGCAAGGGAACACCTAGAAATAACCGATGGAAGGAAATATTTGTGGCTCTGCATTGATTTTTGTGGTCCTTGATGGTCTCTGAGCTGGGTTGTTCTCTTGGAGACGTTTCATGATCCAACTAGGTAACATGATCAGAGTCAGACAGTAGCAAACCCCACGCCCTTCTAGCACTGATGATATTACTGAGTTTGGTACTGAAATGTCTGCAAGAAAACAGCCAAGCTCAGAGAGCACCAAGGTCCCTACAGTCCTCCTCCACACTGCAAACCCCACTCCCTTCTAGCACTGATGATGTTACCTAGTTGGGTCATGGAACGTCTGCAAGAAAGCCACCAAGCTCAGAGAGCACCAAGGACTCCGCTTAGAAATTAAGAACCAAGATCCAACTGTGCATACATTTGTCAGGCCTGCAATTATATTCCTTTTAGAATTTTGGCCTGCCACACTTTCTCTTATTTCATTATGCTGTTTCATAGGTATAATTGATGGGAAGGGGGAATAGACAGGAGTAGGATTGTGGAATGTATTGTTATCATTCTTTTCTAGAAGCTCAAGGTCATCTTTTGTCTCCGCACTTTTACANAAATAAATGAAATGAAATGAACTCAGCTACTTTGTGACTTCTTGGTAACTTTGAAATTGAGAAGGGGTGTGTGTGTGTGTGAGTGTGTGCGTGTCTTGACTTCTAGTGACTGGATAATCCCTGAAGGTATCTTGGCAAGATTTCAGATGTGGTTTGCCTCCTTCTTCCTAGGACTGAGACTCACTGTCCCAAGGTCACATTTCTGTATCGGTGTCTTAAGACAGGACTAGAATTCACAGTCCCCTGGTTTCTAGGCTGGTGTCTTAACCACTACACTCAACTCTCTGTCCTGGGAGAATCCTTACCACCCCTGAAAATAACATTTATCTGCTTTGGTCTCTGGTTATTTCACGTGCAACGAAAAAGAACTCAACCGAAACTCTCAATTCCGGCAAAATGCGACATCGGTTGATGAACGATTAATCTGTCCTCCACTGGCTATGAATAATTGCTTGACAACTCCTTCATTAATTGTAACATTGCCTGGTTAATCAGCTTTCTCTATCATTTTCCCACCTTCACACAGTTTGCGAATGTCATTCTCTCCTTTTACAGAAAAACAGCTGCCTGCCAACTGAGTTAGGCTACTCTGGAAAAAGACATTAACGATGCAAAATGGTAAGATGCCATCGTATTGTAGCAATAGGATTTAAGATTTGGCAGAAGATGGGACAAGAGACGGGAGCTCACTCCGTTAGACAGCACTAGGGATTCGAACCGCCGAACTGCCGACCTTTCTAATTGACAAGCTCAGCATCTTAGTCTCTGAGCTACTGCGCCCCAACCCTTTTATGGTCTTTCTTAAATCCACCCATGAAGCTTATTCAATTTTATTATCTCTGGGCGATATCCATCTGCCCCTTATCAAGTTCCCTAATCACAGAACCCCCCGTGGAATTCAAACCGCGGTTACCAAGATTAGCCCGGTAAAATCCACTTCACTTTCCTGTCGTCACCCTCGCTCCATATTGCAGCAATGAAGCTAGTCAAATATTTACCTTGGATTTTTAGCCTATTATGCGCTACCCATCCCTCCATTAGCCTTTTCAGAAACCAGACACTGTCCTAGCTCTGGTGGAAAGCCAGATTGCAGCTTCTGGAGAGGAGGGGAGGGACAGGAAGAAACAACTGGCCCCACCAGAGAATAGAGCGAAGCAGAAAGGTGACGTCTGCAAGGCTAAGCAAACCATTGTGAGACCTACATTGTGGTCCTCTGGGATATCCGTTCCTGGAACCGGATTTTTGCAGCATATTAAGGAGCTAAAGGTAAAGGCTCCGGAGCCACATGCGGCTCTTTCACAGCCTCTGCTGTGGCTCCTTGTTGCCAGCCGGTAAAAGGAAAAAGGATGCCATTTTAGGAAGAGACTCTACGGTGGAGGAACTGGACTTCTGGTCAGCAGAGGAAAAAGGACGCCACGCTAGGAAGAGACTCTACGGTGGAGGAACTGGACTTCTGGTTGGCAGAGGAAAAAGGACGCCACGCTAGGAAGAGACTCTATGGTGGGGGAACTGGACTTCTGGTTGGCAGAGGAAAAAGGACGCCACGCTAGGAAGAGACTCTATGGTGGAGGGAACCGGACTTCCAGTTGGCAG